AAACATTGAACAAAAAACTTCCTGAATCAATTCAAGATGGTGAACTCTTTGGAAAGTAAGTTCTTAATGTTTTGTTATCTATCTATTGTACAATTCATTACATATTTATTTACATAAACGGTACATTATTGAAAAAATTTTATAGGAAACCGAAGAAGAAAAAGAAGAAGAAACAACAACAATTTATGCTCGAACAACTGAATGAGATAGAAATAATAAAGCCTTTAAAGGCGCAGGAGAAACAGAACGGTGTGCATGAGAAACAGAACGGATGACATTAATTTACGAATATCGTCGGTATTACACTCAAAATATGTACCCGATTCCATACTTTAGATGTCTGCCATGTGCAGTACATACGCCTATGGGGAACAAAGGCGTAACGCAATGATCATCGAATTTCCATCCGAACTTTTAATATCTACAATTGATTAATATTTGTTCGTGCTTGGTCGAGCAATTGCTTCTCAATTGGGTTGGATTGGATGTAAAACAATTATTTATACAGAAACGAAAGTTAATCAACCGTCAGAAGAATATATATATTTCGTATTCGAATATATATCTCGCGTTCTAATACCTTGAAAATATAATAAATATGATGATGGCTTTTATTTAGCTAATGTCGATCGTACGTAATGTGTTGCAATAGTTATAATAGATTGTAAGAATTCTGCCGACAAACATATCAGCACTATTTAAACATCTAAACTTCTTTTATAAAAAATGGCTACAGATTATGTATGAAACATTGCAACTTATTGATATAAAAACTTTTTGCTAGTACTTTTTGCTCTTCCTCTCTACTTATCTCCTTTAATTTGTTGATAGCTGACTAAATATCGCCTGCCATTAGTCTTTATATTAAAAGCATCTAATAAAATGTTTTATTATACGTTGTATTATAATGTAATTTTAAACTCGAAGAATTTAATTGTAGAAATAACAAGTGTTCTTTACAAGATACGTACGTCATTGAACGGTATACTTAAACGGTACGATCTTTTCATTAAGATAAGTTCATGATAAAGATTTCAGATCTGTGAAGGAATTCAATTGAATAATTTTTACACTAGCCTTATTTTATTCATATGTCAATAAGAAGCTTTTGTCAAACATTTTACATTTTTCAAGCATTAGTAAATTTAATATGTATTCGTATAAGCCTTTTACTTCCAGATATTGCATTTCTTTTCGGGATTCATCGGACTGCCAATCGGACAATTGAAAGCTTTGCCAAAATCTTCTGAATTTGAAACGGATCCTATTGCTCTCAACCGTCCAGGACTATGATTATCATACTTGGCTTTAGAAACATATATAATTATCATGTGAATGTTTATCACATGTACATTGGCACAATTTTATAACAAATATATGTTTATTTCCGCGAAGATAATATTTTATCGCTCCATCCATTAATTGTTTCTTATCGCATCTAGGATAACATTAATTAGAATCTATTCTTATAGTGGCTAACCGGCTAACAAAATTTTTTCAATGCGCGCGATTTCTTTTATGTCTTTTATCATATTTCTAGAAAATATATATTTCATAAAAGATATATATTTTAAACGTAAACTGAAGAAATCTGCAATTCTTCTAATTATCTAATAAAAAAATATGCTTATTATCTTAGTATAATATAAATATTCATATATATTAAAAGAAAAGTTGTGCTTTGTAATAATTTCTTTTTTTAAAAAGAATTTATTTATTTATGTTTAATTAATTTTAGAGAATATTATGATAAATATGTAACAATATGAAACAATAGAAACCAGGAGAATAAATTTACAAAAATTGATATTTTTTTAAATGTACTCTGTTTCGCAAATTTAATAGCATATTAAATATTATTAAAGAATTATCCATAAATAATACTTATCAAATTTCATTTCTTTAATTTGTTATTTTTTTAATTTTGTATTTTTAATATTTGCAACTAATTACTATTATTAATCAATTAAACAATAATACGCAATTTGATTGAATATAATGTTAAAAATAAAAAAAATTTTTAGAAAAGACATTTATAGGCATGCTTTTATTTTATTTATTGATACATTCGAGTAGATAATTTTTGCAAGATATTTATATGTAAATTAATTTGCAATATTTCTTTCGATTACTTCCAAATGTTGCATTTTTTCTCGGGATTCATCGGACTGCCAATCGGACAATTGAAAGCTTTGCCAAAATCTTCTGAATTTGAAACGGATCCTATTACTCTCAACCGTCCAGGACTATGATTATCATACTTGGCTTTAGATATGGTAGCATTTCTATCCGAAATTCCGCACCATAACTGTAAACATTATTGCATTTTTACAAAGCACATAAATTATTACAGCTTTTAATAAATATATGTTTATGATATCTACATTAGCGAAAGATAAGAAGAAAAGTTGATCGTTAGTTATGTCTTCGTGGCCTGGCAATGCGGTGTCCGGTTTCTTGCACTCCCTTTCTCTCCTTTTATAAGCCCTATACGCAGCCATTAATCCCATTGAATCCGCCATATTGTCGCCTATCGTTTTATTGCCATAATTCTGCAATTTTTGTTAATTAATAAAACATTTTTGCATTGCATGATAAACAAATTCAAATTAAAATGCAATTAAATACAAAATAACGTACCTCTATTATAAAATTTGTTTCTTTGTCGATGGGATAATTATTAAATTGATCCACAAAACACCCCACTTTTTTGTTGTATGCTTGAGCCATCGCAGCTAACCATTCCACGGAATCACCATTCTTGTCATACAAAAGTCCTGAAAATTATTTCCTTTTATTTTTTATTATCACAACAATTAAATACTGTAATTTAATAAAATAAATAATTTAATGACAATATAAAGTACCATCATCGTCGAATCCGTGATTAACTTCGTGAGCCATAATTGATCCAACCATACCATAATTAATAGCTCTGAAATAAAGATTAGATTTAAAGAAACTTTATTAAAAATTGAAAAGTTCCTGAAGATTATGATAATTGTAAGTTATTTATATTTATTGTTAGTCGCGTTTTTATTCACTTACTGCGGTCGATCGTAGTCAAACCACGGGCTCTGGAAATCCGCTGCCGTGATAGCTATAATCGAAAGAAGATTTAATTCGTGAAAATTAATTCGTGAAAATTTAATTCTAATAAAAAAGACATATTACATACCTATCATGTTATCGTATGGCGAGAAATAGGCATTTACTATTAAAGGATTTAGCCACCTTCTATAACATAAAATTTATGACAGTCACATGAGAACACTCTAAAAAATGAAATTATAATTATGCTTGAATAAATACAAATGTACTATCTTACGAGTCATAATCCTCTGGATTCTCCGTCAATCTCCGTAACCTCTTCCATTTGTAATATCTCTTATAGCTAAGCGTATTTTCATAATATGAGTTAACGAGCATGAGCTTTAACAAAATGGGATAATTAAATAAGACAGTCACCATCAGTGGAATCTGATAATAAATTTCAAAAACTTACACCTTGATAATATCGTTTAATGATAGTGCTATTTTTATACCAATCTGGATATCCAATAAATTTATCCATATTCACTAATTTTGCTAAAATGAAATCCTTGGTCTTTTCATCCATCCAATTTGATTCTTTAATTTGATATTCAACTTCTTTTTGTATATCATCAACCATGTCTACTGCCTGAAATAGAAATAAATGATCGAATTAAACTCGGATCGAATTAAGACGGAAAGTTTATTAATAACGAGACTAAAAATTTTTAAAATTTTTAATAATTAATACAAAACGCTCACAGTTTCTGCGATTTCATCGTCGAAATGTTTCGTCACATACACATACGCTGTGATATCGCTCATTTCTACTTCATTTATGCATCTCGATGATCTATGACAACAATTTACTTTATTAATTTGTGATAATTTAAAATTAATTAAATTTAAATTAAATAAATTTTTGAATTTACGTATTAAAATATTACACCATATTTAAAATAAAAAATTAAAGTTAAAATTAATACAATAAAAAAATTGTATTTTTAGTAAGTCAATAAACGATTAACAATTGTATAAGAATTCGATGAGAGCTTGCATCAAACCTGTATTCATTATCTTCTTCACTCTCTTCGTCTTTCACTCCTTCCATTTCCCATGTATCGTACAATTTTCTCATTTCGCTTGTAGTAGTTTTTAATATATTGCTCAAAAAGTTCCAATGTATATAATTCACTGAAACATACTTCATATGAACGACTTTATCTATTGATGATACTTTTTTATTACAGCCAATTTTTTTTCAAAATTTTTTCAAAATACCGATCGTTCGACTCGACGATTTGTCCAACAAAGATACGAGACTTCTAAAGTAACCTGGTGATCCAATTTCCACATTTAAACTGCTATCAATGTTTGGTACGTGGGCCTCGTCGAACAATTCTTTGATCTTGTATGGCCAGTTAATCTACGTTACGTTAATCATATTTAATCATGACTCTTTTAAATTTATTTTTAAGTTATTTAATCATGATAATTACGAGTGAATTAAACGAATCGATTACAAAAAACTTACTTTGCTCTTGGGACTCTTAGATTTCTTTTTCTCATACCATTCTTGAAATTCATCGAGCGTTATCTCCAGATCGTCAGAGAAATCCGAAGCGATCTATCATTTAGCCAGAGAAATGTATTGTTAAACATTGCGAATTATTAAACATTCTATTCTCTTATCTTATGAAACGATGTCACACTCACATTTGTTAGTTGCAATTGAAAATCGATCATGTTTTGAATATCTTGCTGCATGTGTTCCTCCGAAATTGGTATGCCTCTTGCTTTAGTAATAGCGCGAGCTACATTCAAAATGTAATTAGCGTATAGCTGTATCACATCGACATCATCATCCATTTCTTTATTATCCATTTCTTCAATAGTCGATTCTTCATTAGTCGTTTCTTCGCTTATGCTGTCACCTGTTTGTGTTGTCGTCTCTAAGATTTCCTCTAGTCTTTCCTTATGTTCTTTCTTCGCATGATTTTTTTTGTTTTTCCGCGCATGTAATTTTTCACGAAGAGTCGTTGTTACTGCCCGTCTTTTTATTCTCTGTTTCTTCGTTTTATGATTCTCTTGTTTCTTAGAATTAATGTCGCTCTTCGCTTTTTTACTATGTTCTAATTTCTTGTTTTTCTTTTGTGTAAATTTGCCGGCCTTTTTCTTATCAATTTTCTTCTTAGTATGTATCATCATTATTACTCCCTTCGTTTTGTAATTCCAATTCCAATTCATCATCTATTGTCATTGTTATTATTATCATCATCATCATCATCATCATCATCATCATCATCATCATCATCATCATCATCATCATCATAATCATCATCATCATCATCATCAATTTTATTGTTATCGTTTTTATTTATAATTTTATCAGTTTCTTCTTCACTTCCAGGTTCTTGACTGTCTTGCTCGCCGCTATTCTTATTTTCATCGCTCACATCTTCGTCGCTTTCATCTTCTTCACTCTCATACTCCAAAGAGCTCATAAGTCTGTATGAATATGGAGGTAAATGCGGAGTATCGATCTAGCGAAAAAGATTCCCATTTTTTTAAACGATTGAATTATCGATGTGAAATAAAAGCAAATATTTTCATGCAAATTTGGATCCATGTAACACGTAATGGCAAAAATCACGTGGAAACAAAATGCTTGATAAACGAGATAATATCACATAATATAATAACTTGAAAATATAATATAATCATAAAAATAATATGATAATTACAAAGATACTAATCCTAATTAAAATAATATATATTATAATAAGTACATTTATACATACATGTATTTTTCCAAAATTTTCCGCACTGTCCGAACTGTCCGAATTCTCCGAACTGTCGGAACTGTCCGAAGAGTACGTGTTTATGCGCACATCATGAAAAGCATTTCTTCCCATCAAGCGCATATATTGATCGTCCACTTTTTGCCAGGTGTATTCTTTTTCATTCCATTCTTCCGTGTCCATCGTTATCGGCCAGCCGCCCATTCGAGCTAGGGTATGGACAATTGGATCGAGCCCTTGTCTATCCATTGAAGCTAAAAATATTTGATGAGTCAACAAACAATCGCACTACGGAACGTATTAAAATAATATATATTTAAACTTTTGTACGGCGCTTCGATTACCCGAGAGAATTATTTGCGTTTACCTGTATCCATGCAGACAGTGTACCATTGCTTCGCAAGTCTTACCGCTAAAATATCATCGATCTTAGGACCCTCGTCCAAACTCTCTGCGGAATATCATTTAATATTTAATATTACTTTCACATTACAGTTCACGCTAATCAGGCATTTACCTTGTATTTTCTTTGTAACGCTTTCCTGTGCCTTATTGAGCGAATTCCAGGAACGTCTTCCTTCCGGAATGGGATTGGCTTCCGGCCATTTACCACAAGCGTATTCGTAAAAATCGTTGCATGGATCCACAGATGGATCTATGCTCGATGATAATATCTGAGCTGATAAAATAAAAATGAGAGAAGAATAACGATAAGTGAAGATATGAATTTTCGGACTAGCTAATAAATTGGAGTTATAGTTGATGTTTAATAAATACCGAATTTTTCACATTCCTGACTTTGGCATACGGTCCGCTCGATTTCCTTCTCATTTTCATTTAATTTATTATTTTTTAAACCAAACAACCATGCCAAACGTGAAGCACTTTTCTCGTTTTTCAACGATGTGGCATCCTTCATCAAGAGCACGCCGATGAAGGCGCTGCGAAGAAATTATTAATTATAAAATATTTTGGATTTATCAAGTGAATATTAATAATCAAATTCATATAAATATAAATCTAAAAACACAACATAATATATAAACATTGATAGTGTAATATATAAAAATAATAATAAAAAAATTGTGAATAATATGTAAAAATAGTGGTATGTAAAAATAATAATTCTTAACTAATAAACTACTTCAGGAGGCAAATAAAATTAATATAAAATTCGAAATATGAGAAAAATATTATGTAAGTATCATTAAAACTTTTCTAAATCACAATTAATTAGTAAAGATAATTAAATTAATAAAATTAAAATTAATTGATTAATTTAAAATTATAAATTGTCAGTTTGTTTATAATTAATAAATCGTGTTTAAAAAACGAATACTACTTACAGTATAATAAACTGCCTCATCGTCAAAGTAGTTTGAAGCTAATAATTTTTATTGTGCTATATGATAAATATATTATAATATAGTTTATACCACAATAAATGATCTATTGCTCAGCTTACTCTTTTTATACCTTTTTTTATACATGTATTACTATTTAGGCGGAAAAATCTCACAACCATATCGAATTGATAAAGTCGAAGGTCGGAGATGCATCTTCCTTCTGATGTTAATGAAACTGTGTCTGTGATAATGGATATCAATTTATATCAAATTTGAGGAACATTAATTTTTATAATTGCTTTTTCTCTCGGTAGTTTCTATTAATAAAAGATAAGTAATACATGATTGATGAATAGTGAATATCTAAACATAAGTCTAAAGTAAAGTCTAAAATAAGTAAAAATGCTTCTTCTTCCATCCATAAATAATAAAAAATAATAAATAAAAACAGCAAAATGTCTACAAAATAATTTAAAAGCAGCTAATTATTATTCTATTAAGAAGTATTAAGTAATTATGGCTATTACATGAAAATTTATAATAGATAACTTTTCACTATTTTTTCGAAAAAAGAGAAGGTACTATTATCTCCTTTAATTACGATGCAATTTTATCAATGTTATCTATTATATATCTATCGAATAATTTTAATTAGAAGCAAAATTTTTACCATGGTCATCAAAATATCATGTATTTATATAATCAATGTACTTACAAAGTATCTTTTTCAGGATATCCTTGTTGTTTAATGATGGTGATTATGTATATCCGTTATTTAATGATGACAATTATATCTATTTATGTAATGTAATACGTATAAAATGCAAAAGTGAGAACAAATTATTTGCAAAACTACAAATTGGACGTTATACCAATAACATTATTAGAATATTAATTTTTTTCATTTCTTCCGTTTTTATTTAATTTTATTTATTATAAATTTATTGCAAATAATTACATAAATTACATACTATTGTCATCTTGTAACGCAAATTTTTACTTATTTATGTTTACAAGCAACACTTTTGCAAGGAAAAGTGTTTACGTCCACACGAGCACGTGGAAAACGCCACGTTCGACATCTCAGTCAGGATGTATTAAACGCGATGTATTATTCGTGGGACTATGAAACTCCGAGGGTGGTCTCAATGCATTCGAGTCGTGACATTATCAGCTTCGCAAATGGCACGATCATTGGAAACGTAATTGGCAATGACACCGAAGAAGGAGGCATCAGTAATTGCATGCAAAAGCAAATACGTGTACGACACGAGCGTGTATTGTAAAAGTACAATCCGAGGTACAGAATAATGATTATTTAAATTGTCTTTGTAAAATAAAGTCTCGCGTTTCCTTCAGTAATGGTCGCACAAGCGAAATTGAAGTAGAAATCAGATAGATTCGATAAAAAAAATCTATATGAATCTCGAAACACAGATGATAAATATTTTTTCTTCCGCAGTGAAACTTGGTCTGTGACAAGGCGTGGCTGAGAGCGACGGGGGACTCGCTGTTCATGGTAAAGTCATGCTTGGCTCGATGATATTCGGCGGTTTGTCCGATGAATATGGTCGTAGACCAACTTTTTTCCTGTCTTTAGTCATACAGCTGGTCGGCGGTATACTAGTTGCTGTCGCGTCCGAGTTTATTTCCTATGTAATCTTCAGGTTAATTGTTGGCTCAACCACCAGAGGGGTGTTCGTAATAGCTTACATCATAGGTAACTAAATTTTTATTTAGTCTATCGTTCAATACTTACAATATTTAATAATATGTCAAAAGATTTTTTTTTTTAAGAAGCTTTAATTGAATCACACGAAGCATAAATACAAATGATTATATCTTTTACAGTTTTGGAGATGAAAAAGCGATTAGTAGTCGGATGCCAATTGTTTTTTACTACGGGATATAGTCTCACCGCTGCCTTTGCGTATTTTATTACTGACTGGAGGATGTTGCAAGTAGCCATCACAGTATCGGAGCATAGCGTTTCTACTTTATTGATGGTACGATGTATAATATATAATATAATATTGTATATTTATTCTATGCAGCATGTATAATTCCGGCAACGTCATACAAAATGGAACAATTCGCGACCAAAGTTTATTCCCGAACACGCGCGATGGCTTCTAACGGAAAGTCGTCTTTAAGAAGCCAAAGATCTGTTGCAATGTGCTTCTCTAGAGAATAGTGTAGAGATGCCGAGTGAGGCTCTGGATACGTTTCTTAATAATAACAGCGAAGATAGCGTGCTCGATACGAAAAAGCCTTCACTCTTTGTTCTGTTCCGTTATCCAAACTTGAGGCGGATGTTATTTTTTAATTGATAAAGGCAGCTTCTGTTTTTTAATTGGTACAATCGGCCGTTGTTTCATTTTGTTACGTTATTTATGCTGAATAGTTTTATGCTGATTTTAATTTTTTTTATACAGGCTTGTCAACAGTGGCACGCACTACACGAAAAAAAAGGATTAGTTGCAGCAACAACAATCTGTGTATGTGAGACTAAATTTCAATCATAATATATAGATATCAAAATCTTTAACAGTGTAACCAATTTTAATTAACTGTAAATGTTATAGATAAGAATAACAAAAATTTAGTCACAGCAAATACTTTTATTTATGAGTAGTCGTGGAAACATTGTGGAAACAAAACGTTTGATAAAACAATGAGATAATATCACATAATAATAATATGATAAGTATAAAAATACTAAATATATAATAGAATCATAAAAACAATATGATAATTATAAAGATTCTAATCCTAATTGGAAAAATGTATATTATAAATACATATATACATACATGTACCATTTTTCCAAAATTTTTCGAACTGTCCGAACTGTCAGAACTGCTCGAAAAATACATGTTTATACGCACATTATGAAAAGCATTTTTCTTCCCATCAAGCGCATATATTGATCGTCTACTTTTTGCCAAGTATATTCTTTTTCATTCCATTCTTCCGTGTCCATCGTTATCAGCCAGCCGCTAATACGGGCTAAGATATGGACAATTGGATCGAATCCTTGTCTATTCATTGAAGCTAAAAGCATTTGATGAATCAACAAACAATCGCACTACGGAACGTATTAAAATAATATATATTTAAACTTTTGTACGGCGCTTCGATTATCCGAGAGAATTATTTGCGTTTACCTGTATCCATGCAGACAATGTACCATTGCTTCTTCGCAAGTCTTACCGCTAAAATATCATCGATCTTAGGACCCTCGTCCAAACTCTCTGCGGAATATCATTTAATATTTAACATTACTTTCACATTACAGTTCACACTAATCAGGCATTTACCTTGTATTTTCTTTGTAACGCTTTCCTGTGCCTTATTGAGCGAATTCCAGGAACGTCTTCCGGAATGGGATTAGCTTCCGGCCATTTACCACAAGCGTATTCGTAAAAATCATTGCATGGATCTATGCTCGATGATAATACCTGAGCTGATAAAGCTGAAAATGAGAGAAGAATAACGATAAGTGAAGATATGAATTTTCGGACTAGCTAATAAATTGGAGTCATAATTGGCGTTTAATAAATACCGAATTTTTCACACTCCTGACTTTGGCATACGGTCCGCCCGCTTTCCTTCTCATTTTCATTTAATTTATTATTTTTTTAAACGAAACAACCATGCCAGACGTGAAGCACTTTTCTCGTTTTTTAACGATGTAGCGATTCTTCATGAAGAGCACGTCAATGAAGGCGCTATGGAGAAATTATTAATTATAAACTTTTTTGGATTTATTAACTAAATATTACAACAATCAAAGTTACATAAATATAAATCTAAAACAAACAAAATGTAATATATAAAAATTAATAATAGATAGTATAATATAATAAAAATAATAATGAAAAAGTTGTGAATAACATATAAAAATAGTGATATGTAAAAATGATTCTTAACTAATAAACCACATCAGGGAGCAAATAAAATTCGAAATATGAGAAAAATATTATGTAAGTATCATTAAAACTTTCCTAAATCATAATTAATTAAAGGCAATTAATTTAAAAGTAATTATAAAAATTATCAAGTTGTTTATAATTAATATCGTATTTAAAATCGAATACTACTTACAGAATAATAAATTGCCTCATCGTTGAAAAGTAGTTTAAAGCTGATAATTTTTATTGTGCTATATGATAAATGTATTATAATATACCTTATACCACAATAAATGATCTATTGCTCAGTTTACCCTTTTTATACATATATTTATGTGGAAAAATTTCACAAACATATCGATAAAGTCAAAAGTTGGAGATGCATCTTCCTCCTGGTGAAATTGTGTCTGTGATAATGGATATCAATGTTATATTAAATTCGAGAAACATTAATTTTTATAATTGTTTTTTTCTCTTTCGATAGTTTCTATTAATATAAGGAAAATAATACATGATTAATGAATAGTAAATATTTAAAAATAAGTCTATAAAAAATGTTTTTTCTTCTATAAATAATAGAGTGTGGTAGATAAAAAAATCTAATTTAAAAGTAGCTAATTATTATTCTATTAATAAATATTATAAGTAATTATAGCTATTACACAAGAATTTATAATAGATAATTTTTCATGTTCCTTCAAAGAAAGGAAAAGTATTATCTTTTTTAATTATTACGATGCAATTCTATCATTGTTATCTATTGTTTGTCTATTGAATAATTTTAATTAGAGACAAAATTTTTAACATAGTCATCAAAGTTTCATATATTTATTTAATTAATATATTTACAAATTATCTTTTTCAGGATATCTATTGTTTAATGATGATGATTATGTATATCTGTTATTTAATGGATGATTATATCTATTTATGTAATGTAATACATGTAATACATGTAAAAAATGTATGTAAACATGTAAATGCAAAAGTGAGAACAAATTATTTGCAGAATTACATATTGGATGTTATATCAATAAAATTATTATAATATTAATTTTTTCATTTTTTCTATTTTTATTAATTGCATTTATTATAAATATATTGCAAATAATTACATAAAATACTATTATCATTTTGTAACATAAATTTTTACTTATTTATATTTACAAGCAATACTTTTGCATGGATTTTATTTAAAATAATATTTATTCTTTAAATAAAGAATAAACTCTAATACTTTTCTTAAGAAATTTATTTATTTATTTATTAATAATTAATAATCGTGATTGATTACATTCTAAACATAAGCTGATTTATAAGCTATAAGATTTGATTCATGTTATTTCGGATTAGTAATTTTTATATTAGCCAATCATATTTAATGCATTATTCTTAAATATTTTGATTATTGTGTGACAAATTCATTAAAACGAAAGTAATAAACTTGTTCGGATAATAATAAATATATAATAATGTATACGAAAAACAGAAGAGAACAATTTTTATAAAAATTAAAATGATACTTTTTGAATATGTATTTTATTTTATTTACATTAAAGTTAGTGTATTAAATGTTATTAAAATAAAATAAAAGTAAAAACTATAATATAAAAATTTTGATGTAATTTACAAACACGGTATTTATCAATTTTCGATTTGTGTTTTTAATGTCTGTTATGTCATTAACTAATTTTTATCTGTAATGAAATGAACAATGATGCGTAATGGGATCGGATATTTAGGAGTTAAAGAATCATCGAAACAAACATAGATATATACGTTAATTTATTAATTTATTCATTAATATATTAGAGTAAATAATTTCTGCATAGACATTGATATCTAATTGATATCTAAATATTTTCTTGGATTACTTCCAAACATTACACTTCTTTTCGGGATTCATCGGACTCCCAACCGGGCAATTATAAGCTTCAGCAAAGTCGTCTGAGTTTGATACAGAGCCTATAACTCTTAATCTTCCAATGCTGTGTACATCGCTCTTAGCGACATTTATTAACTGATTTGATGCAATTTTTTCACACCATAACTGCAAATTATTTATTAATCTTTATTTTCATAATTATCTTCATAATTCTAATGTATAATTTTTATTGTTATACCCGTAACACTCACATTGGCAAAAGATAAGAAAAACAATTGATCATTTGTAATATCTTCCATGCCTGGCAACGTAGCATCTGTTGTGCTGTTTCTTTCGTTATTTTGATAGGCTTTGAATATTGCCTGCAGTCCCATTGTGTCCGCGATATTGTCACTAGTTGTTTGTTTGCCATAATCCTAAAATTTTGTTTAATAAAAATAACAGCAATGTTCTCAATAAAATAGGAGTAATTAAAATATAAAGCGACAAATATACCTCGATTTTTTTATCTGTGTTTTTATCAAGAGTATAATTATTGAATTGTTTTACAAAACAATCCTCTCTCTTATTATATGCGCTAGCCATTGCTGAGAGCAATCCCAGAAAATTACCATTCTTATCGTATTGGTATCCTAAAAAATATTTTTTTATTTCTCTTTTTAGCCAAACAAAGAAAATGCCTTTCTTGAAAATGCCTTTTAAATATATTTAAGAATAAAATAGTAAAATATTAAATTAGCAAATATAACAATACAATATTAAATATTATAATTTAATTAAATGAATATTCTAATATTTTATTATTTTATATTACCGTCATTATCAAATCCGTGATTGACCTCGTGAGCCATAACTACTCCAATCATACCATAGTTAACAGCTCTAAAATAGCAAGACATTATAGAACAAAATTCTATTATAATTTATGGTTACGTAAAGTTCAAATGTAAAAAAATTATACATTTTAATATATTATTAGGATATTTTATATAATACTGTATATATGTTATGTTAAATTCGAAGAACATTTATGGTACTTACTGTGGTCGGCCGTAAGCGTACCACGGGCTCTGGAAATCCGCTGCTGTAATAGCTATTATAAAAAAAATTAACTTTTATTATTAAATTAATTGCAATCATCTAAAAATGTAACCAGTCAAAGTTATTAATTCATTATGACATGATACAACATTTAATTATATTTGATATATATCTGCTATTTTATTAAGCATACAAATATATGATGTACCTAATGCGTTTTTCCAAGGTGCATAAAAGGCATTTACTTCAACCGGATTCAACTTCGGTCTACAATGCGAATTATGTTACATAAAGATTATTTACATTATAAATTTATAAAGTAATAAATTGTTATCTCACTTATCATCACTGCTTGGTATCGTCCGTAGGCTCTTCCATTTGCTGAATCTGCTATATCGAAGAGTGTTTTCGTAATATGAAGACCCGATAATAAGCTTTGATGAAACAGATTAATTTTAGGTAAAATTACAATCGCTATGCAAGTAGAATTAACAATTTTTAAAAAACTCACGTCTTGATAATAGTTTTGAACAAGTGTGATATTTTTATACCAATCCGGATATCCAATTCTCCTTTTCATATTTTCTACTTTTGATAGAGCAAAATTCTTAGCTTTGTCATCCAACCAATCCGATTTTTTAATCAGATTCTCCATTTCCTTTTGCACTTCTTTCAGCATATCTGT